AACTCTGGTCATGCAACAGTCAGCAAGCAGGCAGATACCTTCACCTACCCTTTGCCTTCTTACGTGGCATGAGTCCAGGGACCCTTTGATTCCAGGAAACAGACCTTTTTTGTTGCTGGCCTATTAGTGATATCAAATCAGGTACAATATATATTTTCATATTGATATGCTCATTTTTTTCCTTTTGAACAGTCATCAGACTCACCAGTTGATTCAGCTGTCCTTTCAAAACATGCTGGAGATATGACAGCAAGATTCAAATCACACCAATTGCCACCATTTATCATGAGAGGCATCTGATATGATACAGGTTCTCCTAGCTTTATTGTGTATTTCTTTAGTTAAAAAGGAAGACATGTTTTACGACCAGGTTTAGCTAGCCAAAAAACAGCCTCATAGCAATCTCATAGCTGTATCAGATAATTAAGCTGTATTACCTTTCCTATTAAAGCACATCTTACATTTTCAGTTGCTATAATATAAAAGTATTGAACTTCCATGTAGTTGAACTTCCAAGATGTGATGTAGTCAACTTAAGGATTTATAGGAAAATGTATTAAACAGTTTACATGAAGACTGTACATTTACACTTAAGGTTCTGAAAAATCACTTAGTAACTTCAGTATTACAAATAGAGTTTTATATCCATGCTAATGGCAAAACAAGAGGACAGATAATCTCCATGACAAAGTCAGAAACTGCAGGATATAGGAAACAACCAAGCAGTGCATTTGGAGGATGGTGAACTGCCAAGCATCACACCAGGAGTCATGATATGCTCAACAGGGTGCAAAATAATTCGTGATAATCTCTCTAGGAAGGATGTTATCCATATTATGTATTATTATTTATAATCTTCTGGTCAGCAGTGGCTGACTCAAGGCCATTGGAAGAACATTTGGCTGAGAAATATGAAGAAAAATTTTAAAATAAAACTGGCATAAAATAGGTAGCAGTCAGATTAAAATAAAGTACATTGTCCACAAAAGTGATTCTTTCAATTAGTCTGAAATAAAACCTTAGCTTCAGAGATTTCATCAGATTTATTCTTTGATTTATTTCTTCTACCTCTGTCAGACTAAATGAAAAGTTTTAAAGCTGATATTTTTAGTCTACAGCACCTCAGGTATGGCCATATATCCACATTTAGTTATTTAGCGAAAAAAACCTCAATTGTGAATGGTGTTATACTCATTCAAAACTCCTGTTTGCTTCCATTTAAGAAGTTGACATCCTTATTTTTAATGAAGAAATCTTGATATTCAGTTATGCCTCATTTCTTTGGGCCAGATTTACCAATGACAGATTCAAGAGCAACTCCCTTTGTTTACAGGATAAAGCTGGATCTGCCAATGGCCATAGTGAATTTATCTGATTTAGGAAACATGAATACTAACCTTCCCTTTCTCGCATACTGTTCAGGCCAAATCCAATATTTTTGTAGGTTTTTAGTTCAAATTTATAATATCATCTGGGTTTGGGGTTTTTTGTGGCTTTGGGTGGGGTTTTTGTTTGGTTGTTTTTTTGTTTGTTTTGGTTTTTAAATTATTTTTATTTTTTTTTTTAATTCCTTCATTCTTCACAGCTCGTAGAGGTTTGGATTCATAAAAGATAAGACCACAAAAGTTTATCAGGGACCCACAGTCTCTAAAGGAAATAGAACATTCTAGTAAACAAAGAAAGAGCTGAACTAGAAACATAGTTTTTGTACGTGCCAGGATATAGCCATCATTTATGTACAGTTTATAGTCCATATGCTTGCTTATGCCAACATTAAAAGGGCCATTTCAGATTCAAAGAACACTGAGGTAAAGTCTAAAGAACAAAGTTTCCAAGCAGTTAGCTCCTGCTGTGTAGGCATCAGCAAAAAATAAAAATTAAAAAAAAAATTAAAAAAAAAAGGAAGAAATACAGATAAAATATTCTTAATGCATCCAGGGTCAAAAGGAAGTACTTATTCACATAACACATAATTAAATTGTGGAACTCATGGCCACAGGATGTTGTGAAGGCCAAAAGGATAAATGAGTTAAAAAAATAATTAGGCAAATGATTAGAAAAAAAGATCCATTAAGGGCCATTAAGCACAAAGATGTGCATGCAGCCTCTGGCTCAGGAAATCTTGATGCCACAGATTGTCTGAAAATGAGAGAATATACTAAGAAAATGCTCTATAGGTAGTCTTTTATGAAACTCTTTCCTAAGCACTTTTACTGACTACTCTCCAAGAAGGATAGTGACTATATAACTTAACTAGTACAGCTGTTCTTATATCATTATGCACTAGCTTGATATGTATACAGTCTAAATAACTGAAGTGGCAAAAAAAGTTGTCTCTTACATGCTAAAGATTTTCTTATTATTTACAGGGAGAGACTTGTGACTTATTTTCAAGGAGATTACCTTGCAATTTGCATATAAGAATATGAAAAAAAAAAAAAGAGTTCTTAGGGAAGAAGTTATTTGGACCATGATACAGCTGTTGCTATAAAATTAGATATTCTGCACTCAATATAAGTTATAATTTCTGTCAGAATGACAGTAAGAAGTCACTGTAATAGATTTCTGCTATAGTTGTATACACTTTATATATATGTGTGTATATATGAGTGCATGTGCAGAGACAAAGAGCAATTTATATGTGTATTAATACATAAATCTTGACAATAACATACTAAAACTGCTCCTCATCCTCCTACTGTTTAGAATAATGCTTTTTTTAGCATACTATCATCACAGGAATCATAATGCATATTAATTGAAGTATGGAAATGTCAGTGGCCAGATTGTTGAGGTATATGTATTTAGATTGTAGTTAATTCCATATCATCTATTTCTACTCTAAAAAGCCAAATCCATAGATTTTTGCATTTTCTTTTTGTTTTGAGACAAGGAGGTAATCATCAGGAAAGGATTCTATATACTTGGCCTATTAAGCTTTCTTCTCAGCATCTTTTATTGGGTACTTTCAAAGGCAGAATATTGACTGTATAATCTAACCTGACGTTTCCCTCCTTATGTTATTCATTCAGTAAAGATTTACATATCTTATTGCCCACCACATATCTACATCAATGTAACCACTCCTTGCTCATAGTCCTCATGATTACAGAGGTTCCATTTGCTCTTCTATTATTAAAATTTTAGTTTGTGGTTCAGTGGATATTCAGGTTGGAGCCCCATTTTGCAATGCACTGTAAAATCATGGCTGCTCCCTGAGAGTGCTTGCATTTGACAAAATGTGACAGATGAATCAGGCAGGCATATGGGATGTGAAGTTGGTAGTGAGAAAGGCTAATGGAGTGTCTGCAGTTGTTAAATGAACCAAATACTGTGCTTTGAGCTTCAAAGGCAGTGTATAAGCAAACCTGAATATTTTAAATAGAAGGAATCTAGTCGAGTGCTGCATGATATCAACCTGCTTAACACTATTTGGATTTCTTTATTTCAGTAGTGTTTGGGATTGACTTAAACTGGGTTGCACATTTCAAAACTCTCACTTTTTACTGGAAAAAAGTCTACATAAAAGAAAACAGAGTTGCACCAAAGATGTAATAATGTTTCTACCTTGATCAGCCATAAAAGCCTTGGTGTAATTATGCTTGGATCAAGTCTAAGAAAGGATTAATTCCTTCTGGACTGAACAGCCGCATCACAAATTTAAAATACAAAACTGCTATTTGCAGTGAATGCCATTACCTCTCCTTCATGGGGATAGCTTGTGCATTTCTAAGCATCTTCAAATAGACTCCAAATGCAGTTGCCTTGAATTTCACAGATGATAAATTCACTTATATTAGATGCTAAATCTGTAGTAATTTTGCTAGCTTTATTAGCAGCTGATGATTTAGAATGAAAAAAGATACGAACAGTTCAAACCACTCAAAGTCACAGGGACTTGTCCTCCTCCTAACTTAGATTTTATGTCTGTAACTTACCTTGCTGTTGAATGATGAATGTACTCTGGGTGTGGGAATGGAAATGTCATGTTTTCAGTTACTTTCATCTAAATTATTATATTCATTTAATCCTTATTTGTAGCACCAAAGATAGATGGAAATTATATGAAAACATTTATTGTTGCTTTTCTTTTTTGTTTAGTTTTGGTTTTGGTTTTTTTGTTTTGTTTTTTTTTTTTTTTTACAACTCAGTAATACTAGAGATGTAGCTGTAGTCACAGCTGTGGTCTGTTTGGTGATCAAACTCAAAGGGAGGATGCAGATGCACTAACTTTGCTTGCTTCTTTTAAGATCATGTTAATCTGGGAATGCTCAGTGCCTCTCAGCAGATCACTTTCAGTTGTGTTACTCTTGGTTAGGTGGTAGGTATGAATTTAGTAGGACAGACATTGCTAGAATGCTGTTATTACATAGTCATATAATACAAGCTCTGCTTTCCAGAAATGTGTTTTCATCAGCTGTCAGCAGTATGACAACTCCTGTTATGTGCGCTATGGAGGACTACTTTTTTCTTGATCCAGCTGTGGAGTAAATTTTCTTAGGCTATTCTCCACTGCTAGTTAATTTGGGAAATAATTTTCTGTGTGGGTAAATTAATAAGAGAGCAAATACTTCATTTAGAAAAGGATCCATGTTTGGCTACACTTACTGTGCTGTTCTTGGTGCAAATTAGTGGTAGGTGACCTAAGTATCAGTGGTGTCCAAAAGAGGGGTTCCCTCCCAACTCCCCTCTGCCACTCTCCAGCTGCACATTCACATACCCCAGCCACCGAAGAAAAGTCCCCAGGTCAACTGCCCACCCTTCTCAATTACAGCTACCTGTAAAACTGGCCTAGGTGTCACGTGAAAGCTGACCCTCAGATGGCAGCTTCTACAGTTTTGGGGATGTTTGGGAGTCACTACTGAGATGGTTTTACCCACAGCAATATCTAAAATCACTACATGTATACGGCTGACTGACCATCTCCTCTGATGTGGGAGAACAGGCAGTCACACAAAATGCTGAAATTACTGGCTTACACTTGGCCTCGTTTATTGCAGCCCAAAATGTCAGGGTACGAAGACCCGACCACCCCCTTGCTCTGAATCCATGTGGAATGCACTGTGTAGGAGCACAGCTGTGCTGACATCCAGGGAGACTTCAGTATGTGGTGCTCTATTTTTGCTTTGGAAATCTCCCCATGTCCAACAGACTGAAGAAGGTAAGATCTTCATCCTTCAAAGCTAAAACTCAGATAATCGTCTTGTGTACAGAGAGAAGGTTCATTTATTTCATATACTGGTAATATCTAGGGAGCTGAAGTACAGATCTATCTCAAAGTATCTGGTTAACTGAAATTATTCAAGAAAACAGTTTTGAAAAACAATAGGATTCCAGTTAGGCCACACCATCATAAAGTTCCTTTGATTAATTATGGAGAAATGATCGGCCTTATTCCTTTTTCATTATCTTACTGAAGATGAAGAAATAATTCCCCAAAAAATTAATCTCCAGCCTTGAAAACATTCAACTGAAATAAGATATTTTGCAAAGATAGTACATATACACAGTACAAAAAATAAATTGTTAAAAATTTCCAAAGCAACACTCAAGGTTCATAAACCTTACATACGTCAACCAGGAAACTGTTATTCTATTAACAGATTTTAATTGTCTATCAAAAGTGTTGGCATATGAGATAACCAACATAGCAAATGAACTTTCTACTATGAAAACATAAAACCCCATAAAATTAGCATAGTTTTTGTAAGAAGAAAAAATAATTAAAAGATATTAAAAGATTTTTAATTGTCATACAACCACACAAAGTTGCTAAAAAAATATTGGGAGAAAACCAGTTGGAAAAAGAATCAGAACTAAATGCAAATCAAAAGCTTACTCCATTTTAGTTTACTGTTGTCTAGCGTAACAACATCTCACTGATACAACTAATGCTCTGTTGATCTCCATTTCAAAAATTTTATTAATTATACCTCAGTACTGGCTTCCAGTATGCTAGTAGTACACCTTCACTTCTGAGTTTTTCAGAATTTGATTTTCCACATCTTTTTCTTAAATGTCAGTAAATTATAGATTGAATTCCATATGAGAGATTGTTTCTTAGGAAAATACATCTTGCATGCAAACTTTTACATTTCATTTTAATGTTTTTTTTTTAGTTGCTCAGTCGTGTCTTTGAGTGTGCCGAAATATTTTTAAGTATATTGCTCTTCAGTGCAGTTTTAGTCTAATGAAAATCTAGGAGAAAAGATGGTTGTGCTACCTCTGTCAATGTAGATACAAGTGGAAGCATTCACTCTGGATCTGAAAGCAGAGAAAATAGAGGCAGAGAGAGGATGCCCAAATAAAAAAGTAATATAGTTTTTAATTTCATTAATTCCCTTGAGAATATAGCATTTCAGTGACCTAGATAGGCTAAGATATGGAGGTCTAAAATATTTTATTGATTTACTTATATTTATAGATCAGTTGTATACAAAGTCCACTGACTGCTTCACTGAAACAAGTAAATGGTTTTTTAGATTTTCCTGTACATCTTCAGATTAAATTGATTAAATATTTAATTCATTCATATGCCTTAAAATACTTTTCTGCTTTGTAGATGCAATTTGATTTAAAAAATGGAGCAGACCTAAAGAAAACTTTACAGAAGTTGCTTAAGGCATCAGCAGTCACTAAAGAGATCTATTCAAATCATGTAATTCAAATGAAAGAAAAAGTTCTATACTGCCTTTCTTTTTACAGAACTTTTTAAAAAATTAAAGAATGGGTCCAACTTCTTCATATTACATCAGAGCACAATTATATCAAACTTAATAGATATGCTGCCTTACTCTAGATATCATTTTTGGGGAAAAAATAATTCTACACCTCTAATAATCTGAGGAAAGAAAAGGACAATATTTACAGAAATAAGAAGTGGTGTTCTGACACATAGTTTCTACTCTCTGTAGCAGCATATCAAGTTAAAACAAATAGAGGATATCTTAACTATTGCTAAAGAAGACCAAAGCAAAATCCAGATTTAAATCTGAAACATTTCAGATACATTAACGCAGGAACATAGGTGACTAAGGAGTATTTGGCTCAAAGTATATGTTAACCATGGAAGGTTTTAACTCATATTTTGTAGTCAAATATATGGATTCATGTGCTACATCATAATAAGTTGAAGAGGCAAAATTGAGAATGCTGTTCTAACACACTGACTTCGTTCACGAACTGTGGAAAATTAGTAGCATGTTTCAAATGCATCACAGTGTAACAGAAACTAATTGCAAAATACATGGCAAAGCAGGTAACTTTAATGTCTCATTATTTCTTTTCTAAGATTCACTTCCCATGGTACTTAGGATTTGTACTGTTTGCATACTCTAGCTGTTACTGAGTTTTATTGTAATCTTAAGCATACAGGAATGTATGTTCAACTTAAAATGAACCTTGTAATAAAACTCATAGTAATTTCTAATTTGCATCAATGCAAATAAAAAACTTTTGTTCTGGAAATTTGAGTGTGTGAATCACTGAAATAACAAACATAATCACAGACAACCAACTATTCATCAAGGCTCCAGTTTTTCTGTACATCAAAAATAAACCACACCATGAAAGTCTCAAAACTCAAGCAAAGCCAAGGACCTGGTTTGTGGTTTTCTCATAAATCAAAAACTGAGTCCACGTTCATAAACCTTTTGGGAAATTTGGGCCAAGTTTTGAGTGAATTTTGGAAAATTGTAGTTTTAAATGAAAACTCTATGGAAATAATGGTTTTGACATTCTCATTTTTGGACACTTTTTAAATACTCACCTTGAAATAAAATTCAGGGAGCTCATAATAAAAGACTTACTGAACATCTTAAATTAATTGTCAACTATGTATTTATACACACACGCGCGCACACACACACAATTGGCAGATACTTTGTATGCGGTTTCAAGAGTGAAATGTTTAGAAGATTTTTTTTTTCTTCCAGTGCAAAGACTGAGAATAATGTTTAAGAAAGAAAAAAAAACATTTCTGGAATTGAGTTTTTTCAAATATAATAAAATTATTGTAGTGGGATGGAAGTAGAGTGTTATTAAAATAATTTTTGATATTTTTAATATTTTAAATATGCTTCTATGAATGAAGACCTTTCCTAAATTTACTAGGAAATGCATTCTTGCAGCTGAACCTATATGGGAATCTCTTTTCTCAGAAAAACAATTAGATTTCAAAATTTGTATAGGTCTACTTGCAGTTGAAATTTAGAAACATGTAACCTAGTGTTCATGTATTTCCATTCAGGTAGAGAAACAGCTTGGGCATGGTCCTTTCACCTCCAGGAAAATGTTGGGTTATTGACTATATACTTCTGTCTCGACATTTTACAGGGAAACTTTCCCAATTAAAATTTCTTGCATCTGAAAAGTTTCCATTACAACCAAAGCAATGATAATATAATCACTGAAAAGATTTAATGTAGATTTGGCAGATCTAGGCAATAGATAATGGCAGCCTGTTGTTTGTCACTGAAACATAAATCCCAACTACAGGTACCTATTATTTGAAAATATTTCTGACTTCATCAAACAGATTAGCAACTTAAAACCTCAAGAACAGTCTATTTTAAAAAAATAAGCTAATTTCCTACCTTAAAAACAAAAAACAAAAAAACAAAGCACAACAAAACCAAACAAGCCCCAAACCCAAAACACTTCAAATTAAGTACTAGTAATGTTTTCCAGTAATAGTGCTGATACACATGTTCTCTCTCAGATAAACACTCTGCAGTAGATAGTAAGAATTATATGTGTACCTTAACAGAGGAATAGTCTGGATTTCTTTAGGTTATCTTTCTCATAAAAAAGCTATTTCATTTGCCAGTGTGTTTATACTTGCCTTGTGCCTCCTTATATTAGATGATTATATATGTGCGTGGGCCTGAATATCTTGTTTGTTTTCACTTCTATGCAGCTCACACAAAGAGTGGCAGTGTTGATACTCAATGAACCAGCCACTAAATTTGTCCTCCACAATGAGCCTGAGATCAATAACTAATTTTGAAAACTGATTAGTTTGCAGCAGGGAAGTAGACACAGTCCGAATCTTGCCAAAGGATATAATCAGCCAGTAAATAGCAATATTAGTGCTGTAGGTAATAGGCTGGGAACAGCAGAGGAATGGAGTATGGCCCAACTCTCTGAAATAAAGGCCTTGACACAAAGACCAGTTCAAATTCTCTCTCTTTTTTTTTTTTTTTTTTTTTTTTTTTTTAAGCCACATGACTTGTAAACTGAACTTTATATTGTAATTTTTTGTGTTGGAATAAAGCTTATTTTTATCACATTCCAGGCCTGGTGACTAAGGAGTGTTTGTAAATGCATCCCAATAAAGCTTGCAAGTGCAGCCTTGGGTGATTATTAAAGAGCTACAGACATTTTAACAGATCTTTACTGATTGTGAACTCCAGATGTTTACAACATGAAAAATGTTATGTTCTAACAGTTAATGTTGTATCACTAGCCATTCAGAAGATGTATCTTCTTATAGCTGGAATGTTGCTATGGTGATAATTGTAAAACTGTGACCTAGAAGGAAGAAAACAAATGTATTTGGCACAAAAGAGGGTAGGTAGTGTATCAATTAAGTCAATGAATGGGAAGATAACAGAAAGGTAATAGGAAATTAAAAAATTATGCACAAATCTTAGACACCGTATGATATACTGTAATTAGCACTTCCTTTTATTTTCATGTGGAATGCGTCCTCAGTTAGCACTGTGGGCAGATAGCACCCTGTCTACACACAGGTAGATGTCAGTACTGTCCAAAAGTACAATGTTTTTCCTTTTCCACAAAGCCCATACATAAAAAGCATTCCTACCCAAGACTCACTTACACATTTATATTCCCCTTTCAAAGAACCCATGGGTTTGTATGATTCATGTTTTGTATTTTGTGTTTTAGTACTGAAGACTGAAGTTTACCATAAGAGCAGATACAAATAACTCTAGGTTTTGAACTACCAAGTCCTAATTAATTTAAAGGATTGGAATAGAAATAGACTTTGTGCAAGTCTGGCCATTGATTATTTGGGGAACAGTCTATTCTTGGGATCACCGCGATTCTGAATTTTTGATAAGTCTAACTATGATATATCGGCTCAAGCTTTTCAAGCAGGGAGTCACAGGGCCTCTGGGGCTCAAACCACAGAAGAAC